AATAAACAGATAAGGTTGTAAATACAACCTCATCACTTCAACAATTATAATCATGTACATGCTATCTCATAAAAATCAAAAAACAGAAATCAACATGAAATTATACACTGTTAATTAGCTAAATAATAATTACCATTTTTAAACTCTAAGACAGTTTTGAATAAATTTAACAAACACAAACATATATTAAAAATATTCATATGGTAAATATTAATTTAACTTTTTATATTCCAAAAATAGTTGTGATAAACAATTTTTTTTTTCATATGGACTGCTTGGATTTACTGACTACTTGATACGTTGTCTTTTTATTTGTGCCTCATGCATGGACACAAAATGCATATGACTAACAGAAAAATGCTTGGCTAAATTCTAACGTGTTTTACTTGAAGAGTATAACATTTCAAATAACTAGACGTTTAAAAGCTGAAACTTTGCTGGTTAATAATTTGACATGTTTTAAATGGTGTGTAATTTTTATGTATCTACATATATAAGTTAATTAAATTCTATTTTAAGTTGGTATCCACACAGTAGGGATATTTTTCCTGAAACTAATTCTAATAATGTGGCCACTATAATTTGAATACTGAATTTGTTCATTTTACCAAATCTTAATTTACAAGGATTTTGAAAGTTTTTCTTAAATACTACAAATTCTTTTTTATCAAGATAAAAAAAACAAATTTATAAAATGAAGTACTTGATAAATTATACAGATTCACCAGAAAAAGCATTAAAATCTTTTTCATACTTAAATGATTTGGTCAACAAATTGTTAAAATTAAAACTATAGGTTTATATACATTAGGACAGGTACCATCAAATTGTAATTTTTTTTTTTCGAAACAAAAGCAAATATATATATTATATATATATATATATATATATATATATATATATATATATATATCTTGTATTCTTAAACTATTGCTTATAATAATTTTACAGACAAAATAAAAAAATTCATTGGTATCCAAAAGATGCCTTCATAATTAAAAAAGAACTCAAAATGAAGACAATCAATTAATTAACAACATTATCCATTCAATCTACCAATTTTGCCCATTTGTTAGTAGCAACTCTCTTATTTTAATACATTTTTTCTTAAATTCAGAATTATTTTTTTAAAATCATATATATTTTATGCCATGAAATATGTAAGAAAATAATAAAATAAAAAGCAGTGAATTTTAAACTCATCATTATCATTTAACAAAATAAAAAAATTATACCAATGTATAAAAAATAAAAATATTCATTCTACTAATAAAAGCATGGTAAATTTTCATTTTAACACTCGAGCGTTTCCGTAAAGCGATTTTTTGTACTTAATTTAAGAATAAAGTTAACTTTCAAATATATGTAAACATCAACAAATAAAAGAATAATAACAAAAGAAAAAAAAACACCTAACTCTAATTTGAAAATTAACTACAAGGAATTACTGTGAAGGGAGTAAATAGGCCCAAATTGTATACGTCCACCGACAGGATTGAGCACTTAATTGCTTATCAATAAGGTGGTAAGGGATGACAAAAAGAAAGAGAAGAAGTTCGATATTTTTCTGGTCGTTAACATCCAAAAAGGTAGGTTTCTTTAATATCTAATTGTTGATTTGAGTTTAGCATATACATTTGCACGGAAATAAGACTATTTTGGAAAATTTTGAAGGGATAATAGCGCTCGGGTGTTGAAATGAAAATTTACCAAAAAGCATTATCATTATATAGAATAAAAAATTAAGATTAAAGATAAATTTATTTTTAAATATAAATACCATTTTCTTGATTATTGCATCATTTTTATTTTTCATGCACCTTCTAAGTCAGGGATGTCATTACCATTTTTTTGTGTTTAAGTTAACCTTTGAACCCTCAGGCTACCATGCGTAAATAAAGTTTGCTATACTACTTTCATCAAGATCACTTTCTGATTCATAAATACATTTCATTAGACATGTCAACGAGATATGAGCACTAAGAAAGCAAAACCCAAAATAAAGTCAGCACCATGAAACAAATCCCCACAAAAATCTAATACAATAATTACGAACATTGGCACAAAAAAAAAGGACTAAAAAAAATGTGCGAGTTCAAGTATCTCGTTTCTAGCATTTTTTAAATTGTAATTTTATTTTCGAAATTAACTGTCTCTTCACATTATTTTCATATATTTGAAACTTTTACCTTGCTCTCTTTACAAACTTTGTTTTATCTTCAATTTAAAAAAAATAAAAATGCTTTAGCTTTTAATTTACATTACTTAATTTGTTCTTTTTGTTATTTTTTATCTGGCAATATTTTCATATATTTGAAAGTTAACTTTCTTTTATTTTCAAAAAAAATTCCTTTCTAGCCTTTTCTTTACATTGTAATTTTATCCAAAAAAAAAAAAAATTACACTGCTTTACGGTTATTTTTTAATTTCTCAATTTTATTTTTGTTTTATTTTCAAAAAAAAAAAAAATTCTTTTCTAGCATTATAATTAATTTTTGCTAGTTTCAATTTTAAGTTAAACTACACTTATCCAAAAAAAAATTACATTGCTTTACGGTAGTGCAAATTGATTTCGGAAACGAACTTACTTATGTAAAGGAAGTAAATAGGCCAAAATTTAAGCTTGCGCCACCGGATGTACTCAGCACTGTATTAGGGAACATTATGGCAGTAATGGGGGACGAACGACCTACAAGAAGTTCGATTTTTTCTTGTCGATAACTACAAAAACGGTAGGTTTCTTCATAAATTAATAATTGCTAATTCGTGTTCAGCATGAACATTTACATGGAATTATGACGATTTGGGAAGATTTTAAGAGATATTTAAAAAAAAAAAAAAAGCGTTAAAAAGCAAATTTACCAATAATCTTTCAAATAAAAACAAAATTTAATTTCAAAGAATTAAATTAATTAAAATGCGTTTTTCGGGTTTAAAGTTCGTGGAAGTCTAGTGACTAAGTGTCTCTAAATTACAAAAAACTAAATGTGCAACTAGTTACTGCATGCATAACCACCGTGATTAATTCATTTATTTGTAAAATCTGCAAATTCTAAAGTACAATAAGTTAACACTCAGGACTTTCGTTTCAGCATACATAATTTATTTATTGTAAGTAAATGTAAAATAATTTGAAATTTCATTATTTGAATGAGCAAACACCTGATCACTGAAAGCAGTGAGACCTAAAAAAAAAAAACATAATATATTTTCCTCATTTCTCTTAGTTCGGTCAAAAAAAGAAAAAAAAACGTCACTGTCATGTATTTTTTTTTTTTTTTTTTTTAAATCTAAAAAGCAGTGTTATGTCAGGTCACTTATTTTTCAAAAATAAGTGAGCTGACATAACACTACTTTTTTGAATTACTTTTTCGTTCACACAATTCATGATTAAATAAAAAAAAGACTTCATTGGACACTAGAAGAAATAGTTTTTTTTCTTTTTTTTTTACAATAAAAATACAGGTCAAAAGACTAAAGAGAAGTAACAATTTTTTTAAATCTTAAGAAAAATATTTATCTGAAAATGTATACATTTTTTAAAATGTATCTTAAATTATATAGTAATAAAATTGATTGAGTTTTGTTTGTTAAACAAACAAAAAGATTCAACTATTAAAATTTTCAAATTGTAAAGGAAAACCAATTTTCTCTTAAGATACCGTATATGGCTTTCCTAGGCTAAAAAATACTAAAAGTAAAAGTAAAAGATAGCGTTAAAATATTTTTAAACATTTAATCAATATTTTTTCATTAGTGAGAACAAAATGTTGAAATTGTTTTCAAAATGATCGGTTGTGGAAAGAAAGTTATAGGAAAAAAATGTCAAGGTAAGAAAAATAAACTTTAAAGTCATAGATAACAAATAAAATAGTTTTAATTTAAATTTTAAAATAACTTGTTCAATCTCTACATAAGTTTTTTTTATTTTTCATTCATACAATTATGAAATGAAATAAATAAAAATGTTGCCGATAGCAATGCATTATTTTCAACATGTATTCGATTTCATTTCATTTTTTCATAAACGATTAATTATCGCTAAATTTTGGGTTTTAAAATAAATGAACGCTGAAGAAAAGTATTTTTACTTTTTAAAATTATTCTTGGTTATTATCACATTAAAAACGAAACTTTTTAAAATTTCTTTATCAAAGAAAAAATATACAAAAACTAAAAAGAAAAACAAACTTAAAAAAGTTAATAATGCCAATGGCATTTTGTAATGTAGTTGATTTTATTGGCATTTTGCGCGGCTTACATTATTATTTAAAAAGCATTAATTTTTGAAATCTAATTTTACTTTGGATAACATCAAATTGATAATTTTAGATTCCTTTGTGTTCACTTCATTTATCAAGTTTGTCATTTTCCATAAGGTTTTTTTAGTTCTAAAAATCTCAAATTTAATTGAATGAAAGCATAGAGAGAGGCTTCATTTTTATTTCCAGCTGCAGAGAAAACTCATTTTTAATTTGTTTATGAAGAAACACTCCCAATTATTACTGATTCTGATAGCCTTCAAAGGAAAATAGTTAGTTTTAACAAGGGAACAGAATCTGAATAATAATATCTCTAAATGTATTATTTCTCCTTTGATCATAAAATTATGTTATAGATGGAATTTATTTGATTCAAGAATATTTCCGAGAAAAAAAAGAAAAGTGTACGGTACGTTAATTTTTTTTCACCGATATCTTTTTTCTCTATAGACAACTTGCTTGCAGATCTTTAAAAGATGTTATGTTTTATAACTAAAAATTACCTTTAAATTTGATATCAGTACTTAAATTGGTGTACAAAAATGGATTTTGACAGCTTCGGATTGTAAAACAATTAAAAAAAAAAAACTAACCACTTTTAATGTTTGCAACAAGTAGCGCGATATTGTTTTTGTCCTTAAATTTTAATAGTTCGTTTTTTTTTTTGTTTTTCGTTTTGTTTTGAAGTCTTCTCGAATTTTTTTTCTTCTAGCTTAATGAAAAAGATTGTTTACTTACCGGTGATCGCTTCTTTAAGGTGAAATTCTTCCATAACAACAAGCGGAGTTGATGAAGGAACCCCATATTTATTGGGGTTGATTTCTGACTTGTCGCCGTCAGAGAAATCCAAACAGCTGGTGCCTTTCAGTTTTAAACAATATAATTTTTTTCGTCAAGTGAAGGTAGAAGGCGCAGAGACAGCTAATTGTCACAAAAAAAAATGAAATCGAGCAAATCAGTCGGACTACAAATTCAATCCGATCTATTTTTAATGAATGATTAAAAGCACATCCGATATATAACTCACCGCTGTCCTCTTAGTCTTATGAAAGCTAGCTTGTAGAGGCAAAAAAGAAAAGGTAAATGAAACTAGTAACATCTTATGGTTATTGTTAAAATAAAATGAGTGTAGAAACTTAAGTTGAAAAAATGTCACCGTTTCAAATCAGACGTTATTTACGAATATGGGTTTTGTTACTTTTTTTGTATGTTACTGTTTTTAGTTTGTTTGTTTTTTGTTTAATAACATATGAATAATGCAGTTGATTGTATTTATTATTAACCACACTTTTCGACCGTGGATTTGAAATAAGTTTTTTTTATAAGTTTATGTCCAGCCAACTACAAATTCTTAGTTAAGTTTCTGGGTTCCCCCTTCTAACCCCACTAACTTCATTTTTAATTTTTAAAGCAGTGAAGCACTGTTCCGGACATTTCATGCTAATTAATTGTTATCATTTACATTTAAAAAGGTGAACTTGTAATAATAGTGAAGAAAACTGAAAATTCGAATTATCAGGGAACAATTTATTTTTATGCTATTTATTAGCAATGTTTATAGTGTAAAAAATGTTTTGTCGCCGATATTAACTAATTATTAATTGAAGAAGTGTGTAGCGAACTAGAAATTAAAAAATAATTTACAAGAAAACTTTAAATCAAACAATTGTCTCGTGTAATAACTAACAAATTATTTTTTTCTCCGAAGAAAAACTCAAAACTAAACGAAGTAAAAATGTTTCGCGGTTAAAGTAAAACTAAGTGACAAACAAAAAAAACAATGTAGAAAAGTCGATGTGATATTTATTTATTTTCTATATATCCTTCTTAGCTAAATAGCGGGCTTTAACGGTTTTCCTTCTAAACTTTTAATAAACCGAAGGATGTTTTTGTTTCGTTTTTTAAATTCCCTACTCCAGTTGTTTTCTGATTGTTTAATGAAAAAAAAAAGATAGAGAAACTGGATAAACAAAGTTTTTAACCAAATCCCTGAGAACGTTAAAAAAGTAACAGTTACCCAATCTTTGCTTAGTTTGCATATTCATTTTCTTTTGAATCCGTAAATGTTGACAGAGCAATGTTAGATAAAAAGCCACTCTACATTAGTGACATCTGACAGATCCATCCAAACAAAAAGTAATAATTTATCTCCGACTTAAGTTTAAAAAAAAAAGGAAGGTAAAGTCGGGTGATATTCAAATAAATTGACCATTGGTCAGTTTTATATTCCTGACGTTAATCTACAAAACGATAACGCGACAGGGTGTTGAGTAGTGAGTTCTATCAATTTGTGAGTAGGAAAAGTTATAAAATAAAATTTTCATTTAAAATAGTTAATGTTTTGATAAAATAAGTAGTTTTTTCATTTTTATTTATCTTAAAAGTCGTACTTAACTTAATTTGCTAGTTGTAGTATATTTTAATATTGGCGATACAGGTCATAATGAAAAAATTCCCGTTTTCTTGTGCTGTCTCGTCGCTTTAAGTCTCTAAGTGGGAGATTATGCTTCGCTGCAGCTTCCTGTTTTTGTTGCTCAAAGTATTTTTTTAATGTTTTCTCCGTTAAAGTACTACTTCATATTTGCTCAAACTTATCAAGTATGTCACTCGCCGCTACTTCTGTTACCTTCAATTTTTGTCTCATGAGTGTTAAATTCTCCAAGCATTCTTTTTTTTCATTTTCAGCTACTTCTGTCTAAAATAAATTGTTATGAGCAGTTTCTTCGTAGTTCTCTTTCACTATGTTCTGTCCATGGTATGTGATTCTACTGATAAATGCAAACATTCATTAGTAGAATCACATCTCAGTTGCTTAATTTTAAAAAAAAAATTTTTTTGTTTCATTTGTGACAAAATTGTTAAAAGGGCTTTTTTTTTTCTTTTCAGGGAGAGAGTGGGAGAAGATAGAACGTCACTTCTCTTATCCTGATTAAGGTGCATTCAAAAACAAACGAGGCTTGAAACTCTGAACAAATACAATTTTTACAAAAAAGCTGGCACAGAAATTTCCTTTAGTTAAAGACAAGATAGCCAGTTCAAAATATAGAATGATAGGCTCACAAAACAAATATACGATTCAAACATTAAATAAATAAAAAAACCTTGAAGGTGTTGCTGACCTCCTTGTGGGTCGGGGCGATATAATAAAGATATGGTTTGTGTGCCCAAATAAAGATGAGTCACAGGAAGCCCACAAACATTTAAAAATAAATGATGTAAATCTGACAGGTCAACAAGAGGACAACAAAAACAACAAACTTCAGTCAAAGAAACATGAACAAACAATGAATCAAGTAAATGGAGGAAGAATTAAATAAATGGAAGTGTACTGACTAGACAGAAGATTGAAGATAATACAACTGTGACTAAATGTTAAAAGTAAAGTCCCAGTAAGTTAGGTTTGGCTGGAAAACGCCAAAGGAGAAGAATGTTCAGTTTAAATGTCCAGTGCTGGTTAAGTCAAATGATGGACTTTCTGCAGTATTTAACCCAAGTGTATAGAATAGGTTGTTTGAAGTCTGAACAATTTGCATGCAGCAACTTCCTAAACCAAGTGAGTTACGTTGACAGAAAATGCTGGTGGTAGGTAAAGTCTGGTGATGCATTGAGTAAACCAAGTGAGTTAGTTTGAAAAGAAACACTGGAAGTTGATGTGCAAAGGACTGGTAGTGTGTTTGCAATGAGGAGTTGAAGATAGACCAAAATAGCTGTACTGTCCGGTGCAGGCATTGTAATGAATCAAGTGAGTTAGGTTGAAATCAGAATGCTAAAAATGGGCTCTCCATGTGTAGCTGGAAGTAAAGAACTCTGGTGGGCATTAAATGTGCAAGTCCTAAAAAGCCTGTGATAAAGGGCTGTTGAAGCCATTGTATGAGCAGGTCCAGAAATTCCAGAAGTAGGAGGAGCTTTTGGCCATTCCAAGTGCTGGTTAGTGCAGGAATGAAAGCCAGAAGTAAAAAGCTGATGTGGCTAGTGTATGTGCAGGTCAGAAATGGTGGAAGTAAAGTAAGAACAATGGAAGATAAGGAGCTGATGTAGCCAAAAGTAATAAAGGCCAAGAATGTCAGAAGTAAGAGTAGAGAGGAAAGTTTACAACTAGCGTCCAACTAGCAGACAAAAATAAATGGGCTTAATACAGACTCTGTCCAAGAGCCCAGGCTACAGGGGTCAGCACAACCCCTCCTCTCTCCTGGTGAGTGGCGAAAAGTTGCTGGATGAAGGTGTGCAGTAACATTGACAAACTTGATATGTACTTAGTATCTAAAAATTAAATACCAAGTTGCTATAATGTATTAAAAATGTTATGAGATGTTCAAGGGGACTATTTATATTGTGTTAATAATAATCAAACAACTAAGAGAAACATGGTTGATTATAAAATCTATAAGCCTGCCAAGTGGATAAATGCGTTAGTTAGATCCAGTGACAGGATTCAAAGAGTGTGAATCCAATACCTGGTTAAGGTAGTGGAGAACTTTCAGGGGGAAATTAACAGGAGATAACCAATAACTGACATCATTAAACATGGCACGTGGAACTAAAACAGTCTATCCCAGTGAGTGAAATAAAGGGTTCAGTTCGACATTCCAACCACCTGAAGAAGGCCGGAGCGTACAACAGCTGAAATGTTGTAATAAATATGGCAACAAAGATGAAGACAATAGTCCGAATTATGTAAATAAAGCCTGTCATATTGTGTAGAAGTTGGGTGATGCAACAAAGAAAAGGCAAAGGTCCTAAATAACTCATCTGCCATGAATATGGACAAGAGTAGCAGAGATGCTATGATAAAGATAATCTTTTATGTGCTATGTCCCTTCAGGACATAAGCGATCATGACCCTCCACATCTTCCTGTCCCTTGTAACTCTTAATAAATTTTGTCTTTTTGTTATTTCTTGCAAACCCTATCCTGCCATCTATTTGTTCAAGCTCCTCATGTATGTTACATGCTGCTTTCCTATGTCCCTCTTTTCCTCTATCTGTCCTGTAAGTATCAGATTTTCCAAGCTCTCTTTCCTTATTATGTGCCCTAGAAATTTTCAACTGCCTCTACCCAAACCTCATTGCTGCTCACATGTTCAGCCCATGGTATGCATCTTTCTGTAGAACCACATTTCTGTTGCTTCAAGTCTCTTCTTCATCTTTGAGGAGATTGTCTAGCATTTACTGCCATACAGGAGGACAGATATCACATAACAGTTCAGTACTCTTTTCTTTGTTTCCAATGAAATTTTTCTGTCTCTTAATACTCTGCTTAGCTTTTGGAATGTTCGCATCAAACAAAAAATAACTCTCAGGACATGGAGCCTGTGGTCCATATTTTTTGAGAAGACATCTTATTTTTCTGCATACACAACCATTTCATCCACCAGATGTCTTCTCAAAAAATATGGATTAATATCAAAACCTGCAGAGTCACTTGACGGGGGCGCAGCACTTAGGCTAAAGTTGCACAAGGATAAAAAAACTGGAGAGTTGGTGTTTCGAAGGGGTAATGAGATTCTACCTGTGACGGATAAGATGAGTAAAAGATAATTGTTTTTGACACGTGGGAAGCTAGTGGGTCACTACCATGTAGCTGGATGGTTGAGGGTCACATGCACTTATGGTAAGGAATGACATTTGCAACAGGTATCACTTGACTGTCATCAAGGGACTGTTCGCATCAAACAAAAAATAACTCTCAGGACATGGAGCATTAGAACATTAACCAACTGTAGCCAGTTGGAAAATCATAAACATGAGATAAATAGGTTAAATGTCAACATTTTAGGAGTATATGAAACTAGGTGGCCAAGCAAT